ACGCAACAGTAGTACGTAGTGCACTGTTTGGTTGGGCACACGATCCAGAAGAGAGATGTCCAGGAAAAGAAAATCAAGGTTGAATCAGCTGAATACATACGTACGTACAGTAGCTGCTCTTGTTTAGTTTAGACTGTAGACAGTAAGTGATCAAGGCGGGCGGGCGGGCGGGCGGGCGGGTTAAGAGTTTGAAATGCCTTGCTTGTCTTTGATACGCAGCCGCAGCAGCAAAGCTTTTTACAGCGAGTGTCATGTTTTTTAACCTACCACCTGGGATATACTGGTACGAGTATTTTTTTTTCTTTACCTCGGCCTCGCTCACTGAATCCAACACGGGACGCGATGGGACGGGACGGGCCTCGATCACTGTGAAATCACCCCTACCTGCGCCGCACCGAGGAGTAGCAGGTAGGGCGGGCGCGTGGAGGGAGATTCGGGAGTGACGGGGACATGGTTGGTCCGTACCCACGCCACGCACTCCGTCAAGTCACATCGTTGCCGGCCGGCCGGCGTAGGACCCCCGCGAGCGCGCACAGGCACAGCATCGTGTCGTGTCCGCCGCGCGTCCCCCAGGAGTGGAGTGGAGTACGCACACAAGTCCACCACGCTGCGTCACGTCGCGTCGCGCTCGCCTCAGCCCGGTTGTGTTGCCCACCACTCCACGCCTTCTCTCCATGCTCATGCTGCTCCCGTTTTATACTAGCGCACTGTACTGTACTGTATGTACTCCGCTTGCTTGCTTGCTCATTTCGTCACGCCATGGCTTACGCTTGTGGACTGTTGTGTTTGTGTGTTTCTGCTGACTGACAGGGACGGGACTGACGCCGGTGTTCACGAGCGAGAGGGCAGGCCCATCCCAGCTTATTCGCCGTGCCAGGCGAAGCGACGAGGCAGTCAGTCAGCGGCAGCTAGTCTATATCTACTCAAAGGGGCAGCAGGCCGGGCTCGACATCCTCCCCTCTGAGAGAGAGAGAGAGAGAGAGATCACAGGACGCACAACCGGGCAAGGGCAACGAGCCGAATCGAGCCAGCAGGAGGCAGGCTTGGCTTGGCCTGGCATGGAGAAGATGATGCTGCAGCAGGAGCAGGAGGCGCGGCCGCCCGCGTCCACGTGCCCGCCGTGGCTCCAGGCGGCCATCGCAGGTGATGTGATGATCCATCTCATCTCCTCTCCCCTCCTCTCCTCAACACGTAGTACGCGTGCCATGCCAGCCATTGTTTTCTCTTTCTTCTTCACGAGCGCAGGCGTAGGCTGATCGATGTGCACTGGAAGCACACCTGTGGGCGTGGGCGGCTTCATTTCATTTCGTGGCAGCAGAGTAGAGTAATGCGTTTGTACCGGCGGCATGCCCGGCGGTAGCACATGCTTGCTGATGGATAGATGCGATGGTAGGAAGAAGAGGAGATTCTCATCTTTCTCTCAGAGATGGTACTGTACACTACACTACACTCGTTCCTGCCTGTGCGTCCTCGCCGGCCGATCAAGCCAGCTCCTATCCGATCCTATGACGCACAGTGGTACTACTACCACAGTACAGTACTGATGGGAGAGAGAGCTCACGGGTGCCCTGTGATTCGCATAAATGCCGCCGAGGATTCTCTCCTCACCTAGGAGTAGCTGCTAGTACAGTATCACTGTGGCCGCGAGTGATGCCGGTCCTCGTCCACTGGGTACAAGAGATGAGGTTCATGGGCTCATGGCCCTGCCATGCATGCCTCGGCACAGGCACAGCCACGAGCCACCACACGCGACTGTGAGCTGCATTTTAGCTGTTCCAGTATGTACGCGTGCGCCCATTGTCAAAAGCAGATGGCGCTTCTCCGGATTTCGAAATTTCAACTCCACGTACGCCCACCTCCACAACCATTGCATGCATACATTCGCTACAAAAGAATATTGCCACGTCTGGACGTGCCCAAGTTGGCAAAGAAAGCCATCATTCCGGGTCAACCCTTTCA